CAAGAAAGCAGAGCATATCTCACTGCTCCTTAAATCACTGCAAGAAAGCAGAGCATATCTCACTGCTCCTTAAATCACTGCACTGGCTTCCTTTGCATCACAGGATTGATTGTAAAATATTACTTGTGTACAAAGCACTAAATGGTCTCTGGCCTAAATACATTCCTGATTTATTTGAATCGTATGAAGCATCCAGACCCCGGAGGTCATCTGGGAAAGACAAAGGAAGGTGAAGCAGCGTTAAGTTTCTATGCTCCCCGTCTGTGGAATAAGCTTCCCAAAGACCTGAGGTCTGCAGAACCTGTCAGCTCATTTAAATCAGGCCTTAAAACATTACTGTTTGCTGCAGCTTTTCAATAAATTAAATCAGCAGGTTTAGTCATACACTGCCATTATAATGTAACTTCTTTTTAATAGTTACATTATGTTAGTAGCTACGATACTATTTATTTGTGTGGCTTTTATTTTTTATGGTCTTTTATTTTAATGTATCCCTGTGCCTCTGTAAATCACTTTGAATTGTGCCATATAAATAAACTTGCCTTACCTTATGAAATGATGTGGACAGACCACGAGAAATGTCTAGTTCTATTATAAAATCTTGAGAAATAATGTAGAAGCACTGCACAGTGCTGTAGCGCCATTGGCTAATAAAACGTGAATAGGAACAGTATCTGTGACACTCTGGCATCTGCAGAGATTTCACATCATCAAGGACATGGGTATAATGCCGTCTGTTTTATAACTTCTGGCTCTGCTGATTTTGCAGCAAAGGATTCTGGGTTGGAGTTGCTAGGCTGCTTACGGGCAGCAGGTGGCTATCATCACCCGTGACGAAAAGGACAAGGCGAACAGCAGGCCTCGAACAACCGTGCCAAAGCACAATGATGCAGCCCTATTCTCAAGCTATATAACCGGGCATCCATTGGCTCAGCAGCAGTCATATTTTTGTGACTATCTGGTAAGTCAAGTGACCTTACCTCAGTAGCTCCCTGCACTAGTTGGAGCAGTATTTCCCAATCTGGTCCTTGGGGAGCTGGGAGGGAGCAAAAATGTGGGCTGTCTGGTGAGGAGCTGTGAGGGAGCAAAAATGTGGACTGTCTGACAGAGGGCTGGGAAGGAGCAAAAATGTGGACTGTCTGATGGGGATCTGGGAGGGAGCAAAAATGTGGACTGTCTGATGGGGATCTGGGAGGGAGCAAAAATGTGGACTGTCTGATGGGGATCTGGGAGGGAGCAAAAATGTGGACTGTCTGGGGGTCCCCAAGGACCGGATTAGGAAATACTGAGTCAGTATGATCTGGCGTGTGAATGTGTAAGTGAATGGTGTGTCTGTGTGCGCCCTGCAATGGGTCAGCCTCCCATCCTGGGCTGTTCCCTGCCTTACGCCTGTAGGATAGGCTCTGGACTCTCCATGACCTTGACCAGGACAAGTGATTATAGAAAATGGATAATTACACGACTGAACCCTTACGGGGAACCTTGATCCTCTCCGGAGGGTGACATGTGATTTAGGAGCTTTGATTAGACAGAAAAGTGATATAATGCTGCAGCATAATGAAATGACACCAGCAGGGACATACTGCCCTTCTGAGAAAGTACGGTTAGAATAAAGAAGCAAACACCATTAGCCATTGTTACGAAATGTCACAAATCTGAACACTTTTTGAGTGAAAAGAAAAGAGAAGCTTCCCCATGGTGCATATCCGTAGCTGCTCTGTTGCAGCTGCCAAAAAGCCCAGCAATCTAATAAAATATTCACAGGGTGTCACACTATCGGGGTGCTGCCCCTGTGCACACATCGACATTCTCTCCCAGCAGTCCATTCTGCTCCTTTGTTCATCAAAGACAATTTCCTCGACAGTTCACATAACCGGCCAATACGCCGATAGGCTGAATGACTGGAGTGGGCAATGTCACCAAAGGGTCTGTTTAAGAATGGCCCCGCCTTACGCGGGATTGGCTGTGGTGGTGGACAAAGAAGGCATAGGAGGCAAGGGTGCAGGTAAGTACCCCAGGAGATGTGTGATCTGGTCAGAGAATACAAATAAACCTATATAGACTGTGGTGACAAAGAGGCTGTGGTCGTCACCTCAGAGGGATGCATCTCGTCCCCCTAAATCAATATGGCCGCACAGATGGGTTGATAAGAGCAGCCAGTCCCATCAGGGTCGTTGTCCTCTGGGCTCTCTGGCGTTGCTGGCAGAGAGAGTGTAAACAACCAACTTACTGCATATTTTCCATGACCTTCTCCCTAGTCCATCTTAAAGCCTTAAAGACAATCTCGATCCTTGGTTGGGGCAGCCACAACGCTGTTGGCATTTCTTTTTGGCCAGCCTTTGGTTAGAGTTAATCTGCATGGTGCTGATCTCCACCCTTCTTATGTGCAGCATAATCGTGGAGGACCGTCACATTATGCTGAGTGGATCTGCCTGTCACTGAGCTAGTGTTAAGGAGAAAGGAACGAGATCCTCAGAAACAATAAAAGAGCAAACCATGCCTCTATTTATTTTTCTGCCTGCCTCTCTTGTCCATCTGCAACACAACACTGGTGGAACAGACGACCTGGAGTGATAGATTGTGGAGCTCCAGGAGGTGACTTCTGGGATAGCATGGCTGGGCCAGCTCAATGAAGCGCCTGGAGGAGCAGAGAGCAGGAAGATGTCCCAGAGATGATGGATCCCCATTGCCATGGACCGAATCCATCCTGTCAGGCCCAGGAAGTAGCCATCAGTCACCCATTCACACCTCCCCAAGCACAATCAGGGGCCCTGGAAAGGTCCATTTGGAGCTCACAGTCCAGTGCTTTCAATGGTCATTGGTCTGACCGCAACATTATAAATGTTAAATAATAAATGGCCTTGACTCTGAAGGGCAGGGTATTTCAGGTCCACCTTGACTTGCAACCAGAACACCACCACCAACTGCCAGCAGCACTCCAGCAGTGGTTTGGGCTACTCTATGCCTCAACACACGTTCTCCAGTTACTGGAGATACGCTGAGTCATGGGTGCAGAGTCGACAAGTCCAACCACCTAACTAACCCAAGCTGTGCCGTGGAAGACAGCAGGGAGAGTCCTCACCTGGGAATATCACCACAACAAGCAGGAAAGCAACCCACACATGGAGCAGGCAACAGAACTCAAGACCAGAAGGGCAGTGGACATTGCACCAGTGACCCACTAACCTAGAACCAAGCAGCAGAAGAGCCTTGATGAGATCAGCAGAGGTTGGGCCACCCAAGAGGTGACAGACGTGGTCAAGGAAAGGAGCTGCAAGCGGCTAGGGAGCAGGAAGAGGGAGCAGCTGCAAGATATGCACCAAGATCTTTGAGGCTAGGGATGAGGACTGCATCCAGACTGACCACATCTAACACCACATAGACACCAGTGAAGAAGATGGTACAAGAGATGGCAGTAGCAGGAATGACAGAGCTGTCAGCCAGCCCATGGGCCACTGCTGCCATCCAGATGTGAAAGAATGATGGCAGCTGGGAGTTCTGCGTGAAACACCGCGACCATAACACCCTCGAGTACCAATGGCCTGGACCAGGCTGGGAAAGTGACTATTAGCCAGGTCATCCAGCAGCTGCTGGTTCATTACCTTAAAGTAGCCAGAGGTAGAAGTGGCAATGGACCAGAGTGCAACCACAATAATAACCAAACTGGTGGAGGAGGTGTTGTGCAAGTGTGGGGCCACGTGCCTCTGGTCCTGTAGGCTCCTGTTCTGTGGTGCAGGATCTGATCAGCTTCATGACAGCCACGCTTCTCTTTGGACAGGAGTTGAGTACAACAAAGGAGTTAGTTTTTTGCAGCCCCATGGGGGGGTTGCACCTCTATATAGTGGCCCGTGTAAAGTACGTTACTACAGCAGTTAGTGAGCATGCTCACTGGCCTCCCATCCCGTGGCCCAGTGTGGCTGAATTGTTTGTGTAACGATGTTCCCACCATGAACAGGACTTGGTGCTCACAGGATGTCGTGAAAAGCTCGGCCTGTGTGAGCTCATGTTATGAAGAAAGGTGTGAGATCTCAATAGTCTTTTTATAAACAATAAAAGGACACTATTTACCATCCACATCATGAATGTATTGAGCTCACACAATATGCCGGATTTATATCAGAAAATCCAGCAACAGCCCAGATTAAATATAAAAATTAGCCCAGAGGCCAGGTTAGCGTAGTAGCTAATTACGAATACTATTCGTTATCTTATACAGTACGCTATCAGTGAGAGAAGAACTTTAAATATCTTTCCTTTGTGTCTTGATGAAGCCAGGGAGCAGGAGTTTTCATTCTGCTCCTCAAGAAGATGCAGTTTATTCAGTTTCGTGTTTAGTCTAATCGCCTTCTGTTGATATTAAAAGCATAATTTCTTAATTCATGTCAGTAAAGTCTTGTCTAACTTTTACTAACTTTGCAGATGTCTGTACATACAAACGTTTGTCAAGATCCAGTACCAACACAACAAAAAAATATAATATTTGGAGGGACTTTGTGCAATGGACATTATAGTACGAAATATTAATGTGGAGAATCAAAGATACAAATATTGAAATACAGCAAATACAGCAAAGCACTCTTTTCAGAGTGTGGTAAACTTTGACTCTCGCTTGGAAAAAAAAACACAAATATATACTGAAGAGTATATCTGTCTCGATATGCCTGGATACAACCCAGCAAAGCACAACAGATGGTACTCCATGCCAAGAGTGTGTTACTCACCAACGTATCCCAGTTAGACTTTTCTGATGTAGGCACAGGCTTTTATACAGTAAGTCAGTAAATTCTGTGATCTTTGTTTTGTATTTTAGATGGTGATACACCTCAGTGCCATTCCATTCCCAGCTGTCGACCGGACACATTGTCCTTCTTACAGTATGTAGTGAAGCTAATGGCCTGAGCTGGACAGAACCACCCCATGCCCAGACTGATTTAAAGGTACTGTTACTTTTTTACATCCTGTTATTGATCTAATACAAGTATTCGCCAATTAGAGTAACCAACCAAAAGTATCTTCAAAAGACAAGATATATACTTATTTAACTTAAAAAAAAAAAACTGTAAAAAAGTTTTACATTTTTTTTTTGTTGCTGAATTATACTATCAGGACTTTTTTAAAAGTACTCTATACAGTATGTGTGTCAGGCAGACCTTCTTTCTTTTCCCTTTCTGATTTTTCAATAGATGGTACAAGATGTCAGCAGTAGCAGAGCAGAACAGCTGGAGCGGAAGTATTTAATGGACACTGGAAAAAGCACTCAGAGTGATAACATCCAGAGGCAATTAGTCACTGACAAGGGCGTAACTTTGGCTGGAACATAGGGGGGGTTGAAGTCTCCAGCCATTACACGGGAAACATGATTATTGGGGGGGTTGTATCAGCTGGTTTTGATTTATTGGGGGGGCTACGACCCCCCCGTAATTTACGCCCATGGTCAATGTACTTGTGGCAATTTTTTTATGATACGGCTTTCTTTTGCAATCTACACACATTTTTGACTTGAAACTTAATCGGCTGCATTGTGTCATTTCAGGTACATTGCTAATAGTTACACTGCCCCCAGTTCCCAGAGATTCCTTCCCCAAGAAAATCTATGTAAGTAGGCTACAGATTTGGCATTTTAGCAGCAACTAGCCCTACTTTGTTTGAGAAGCAAGTACCAAAATTAATGCGCACTATCATTCACATTACAAATCTATCACATTATTTCAAAAGTTTTGTTTTATCTTGAGGAAGCCACTTCACTGATTGAGCCTGTAACACTGGATTCATTGCCTGGGGGGGTGTAATGGTTTCACTGCGCGATTTCGGTATGGCTGGGAGAGCAATTAGTTTTGAAAATATTAATTATTAAAACTGAAAACACCAATACAATTAGGAACAGGTGTAAACCAAAGGAAATTTGTCTGTCAATGAATAATTAATCCTAAAAAATGCTTATTTGCACAAATATAAATAAGCAAAATAAAAATGGGACTGAATCATAATGATCATAATGAACTAAATCCTGTCTAAATTACATGTCCCCTACGACCAATAACTGTAGCAATAAACACTCCTCTAGTCATAGTTATTGTTTTTTAGTCTGGTTTGAATTTCCTGGCAAAAGAGCCTTAAACGCCACAGGTAGCTAATCTTACAGGTGCTGTTTCTGCCGTACGCCGGTCATACACACACTATGATGATGATGTCTCAGACTGGTTAGCACATCAGAGGTGTTTCCAGCAACATGTCCCAGTTCAGCATAACAGAGATAACAGACAGTCTTGGACAGTGTTGCTGGAATTTATTGGGATACTGAAATATTTCCCTAAACTACCAATTATGAGCAACAGTGGGGGGGGGCAGATAACTACTTATTTTGGACAATATGTTGTCCCTGAAAAAATTGCAATAAACAATATTATTGTCATTTTATGCCTCTGATAACATAATAATAAAGCAGTAAAATAATACACGTGCACCCTTTCAAATAGCAATGAACTTTTAATTCTTATATATAATGTCCAAAATGTAAATATTGTAAATGAATAAAACAGAAAACTAAAACTGAAATTTCATTGTCAATGAAATAAGTACTGAGGGTTGTTCATGACCCACACAGAACTACAGAATCTTCCATCTTGGTCCCTCAAACTTAAATGAAAAGGGATTAATAAGATGATGTGATTTGTTCTTTACTAATGTGGATGGAGTCTTCAGTCTGTTAACTGGGTATTTGGGCTAACAAGAGAAGTACCGTTGAATGAAGGAAGTATCTCCATGAATGAGCTAGCTGCTGTAGTGTCTGTGCTTTTATGAGTGCCTTCGTGCTTTCGGAATGCTTATGATAGAGGATCACTGTTTAATCGTAAAGTTAAAACATTTGAACTTCTACTTCTCAACTATTTATTGCCAGCAAATGCCTTTACGTTGTCTTGTGTTTTGAGCTGGTTGTATCACTGAGATTATGGTATTGCTACTTCTGTGGCAAATGGAATGCACCCGACTCAGTATTCAGCATTTTTTAAACTTGGGGAGATTTAAGTTGGCTGTGTGAAATAAAACATGGTTTGCCAAATTGTATTAATCTGTTCTTTGTGTGCTATAGTTTTCCCAAGCTTTGCCATAAGCCACTGTAATTGGATGAGAATAAGACAGTGTTATTAATAACGATTTTAAAAGGTTAAGGATCAGAGATATTTTCCATATTAAACATCAAAGTGGGGGAGATTTAAAACTGAATATCATAAGAGTAAGACGTTTTTATTGAAATGGTATGTATGCTCTGGGTCAAAATTAAGATGACGATCATGAGTATAAAATCAGTTAAGGTTCCCTGTTTATTCTGGAACAGATTTAAACATGATCGCCTTTAACGTAAAAATAACCCTGAATTCTGAATAACTTAAAAGCATCCTATATTATCTGAATCAGACAAAAATTAAATGTGGAAAAAATAGTCCTTTTACTACAGTTTCCATTCTGAATTAAATGTAAAATTTCGCTGCTGTAGTGCCATGCATAGGAGTCAAATGTTTTAGTGTCAAACCAATTCCTGAAAGTCAGGACCTATGTAGTGTTGGAGATAACAATAAAAATATCTGTCACACCACACTTTTTCCGGAGTAAAAACGTTTAAACAACGTTAGACAAAACGCGGTGGTTTTACAGCCTTGTAAGACGGATCAAAAAGCAGTGACAGGGCTATAGAAGGGAAAAATAATAAAAAAAAAATATAAAGATAAAGCCTTTTTCGTACAACGTGATTGTAAACGAATAGTGCTGTGCATTTACGAAAACAGCGGAAAATTAGAAAAAAAAAATTCTGGCAGAAGCCTTTCCTCCTCCCACAAGAGAACAGAAATCGCTTGGTATACTTAAGTGATGTGCAGAATAATTGATCCCTTTTATTATGCAGACACTGTTGCGTCATGGGTTACGACATAATTCTGCGCATCAGTGCAATTTCCAAGTATTAGTATTTTATGACAGATTGATATTACCCAGATACGTTAAATGTAACCCTATATCAGAGTTTTCCCACAGTAAACACAAACGCCTCCGAATGCAGCAGAACGATACGGAATGGATCCCCAATAATCCAGATGCGTTACATTTCGTTTATATTAGCGGCCTTCAGATAGATTATATACTGAACCACAGAGCAGAAATTCCATAGGCCTATATCACAATCTCGCATCCCCAAGATCGATGCACGTTTATCCTTCGGTCAATGTTTAATCATAATAACTGCTAACAATAACAACAATAACGTGAACATTAAAAACGCACCTAAAAAAACAAAAGCATTGTTCTCTATGGACTTGGCTGCATTACTTGCAACAAATATATACCGTTATCTACACAACCGGAGAAAATACAAAACAATCTATTTAAAGGCGGGGCACGTTCAGAAATGAAATATCCGCAAGTGACAGCCAATATATTATTTGCTGCAAAATTATTGCTTGTCATTTGTTTTGTTGAATGCGAGCTTGATTCATATGAAACTGTAAATCCCGTGTTGAAAAGGAAGAGATGGACTTGGAGTAAATGTAATAGGCAAGCGGGCCCATAGAGAATCCCCTCCCTCGTAAGCACAAACACACCTAAGCATCACTCAAAAAACATCATTCATATATAAATATATATAATGAATCACACACAAACATCCGCATCTGCATGCTAAAATAATGAAACGTGCCCTATTGAACATATCTTACGTACATACATATATTTTGTCAAAAACAGTATCCGATACATTCAAATACCATACCAAAGCACCTAGCGACTATGGCGTGGTTTTCCCCGTATTTACCGACACAGTTTAGGGATAGCGCTTGTTTCGTACTTACCCATGGCAAAAATCACCATTGCTATAAAGATTAAGTTGACAGCTGACTTCCGCGATTTGTTTCGCGCTTGGAACGAAGAAACCATGATGTATATAAAAATCTTTTGTGTCGTATATATAAACGCGGCTGTACTTGCTTTTATTGAAGTGACAAACAATAGGAAAATTGTCTTATTTCAGTGCTATATTATGGCTGGCAGTGACTGTAGCCGAGGATAGAATTGATTTTGTGGTTGTGAGTGTCCAACGGAGGTGGAGAGGTTTGAGTTTGAGTCCGTACCCTCGTTGTTTGGTCCCACCCCCTCTTTCATCTCCTTTCCAGAAATCGCATATCCTATGTACAGGACCCTCCTTGCTTCTTCATGCAATGAGTTGTCGTCATATTTAATATGTTAAAGAGATCGTTGCGTTGGACAAAACAACTTGAGCTGTTATTCTGTCTGTTGAGTCCTGCTTCTCCAGAGCAAATAAGACAAAAAATATAGATTTTTTTTTTTTTTGGATCGGAAATTTGAAGAGATGCTTTACATGAGATGTTTAATCCATTCACTTGCCTGCTTGGGAAAAAATGTCAGCACTGAGCAGTTAAGTGAATATGAGTCAGTGATGACAGAAAGCTTTGTGGGTTTACATCATGTGTGTGCTTGTCTGTGCAAAAGGACCCATAAAAAAGCATTAATCACCAAGGGGGAAGGCTTATAATGTACTCGCACAAATTATAAATGATGTAAACTGCATATTTTAAATACTATTGCATGGGGATATATATAATTTATATTCAGTATATTGCTGTAATTTACAATAAAATCTTAAATATGTACAAAGAAACATGGTGAGATATTACCCTGGAATCAGCCACTGCTTGACATCATGTGATGAATAGTGACAGAATTCCAGTGATAGAGGCAAGTGTACTTTACGGGGTTTCTGATGAACTTTCACGCTGGTTGTAATGATTTACAAGATGGAGCAACAGTTTTAATAAGAATATATTAAAACATGGCATTATTTAAAAATTGCATATATCTTTTACCCTACAAAATATGTTCTGGGTAAATTAATACTTATGAAACAGCACTAATTAAACTACTTAAATTCACAATGCAACAGACAGACATTTGAGTCGTGTGCTCCTTTTGGGTATATAAGAGTGCATAGAAAGAAAGTGGTTCTTAGGCCACGAGAGTAAAGATTATCAATACAGCAAGAGAGAAATACTGACTATAGGCAAAAATAGCACAGAATTCATTGATGGTCCTTTAAGACCTTGCAGCTGCAGCTTTCTGGTAGGAAGTGAGATACTTGTGTAAAATTCAGGCAGCAAAAAAAGTATGAGCTCCCCATTTCTACATGGTGCTTGTTAATAAAAAGGTAAGGGGATAAATGTGCAGAAGCCCTGAATTACAGAACAAACTGACAAATCAGAAACACTATAACATTAACTGAAACTGGAAAAGGTGGGGTACTTACAGTATCCAATCTCATGGCCCAGGCACTCTTTGAACACCAAGCTGTGTTTTCTGGTTTGCTGTTGTGTTTTTCAAGATACACGTGCAACATGCAGTGAAATGTAACCGTGAATCACTCTTGGTTTAATATGGTTTAATTGGTTGTCATTGTGTTGCCTGATTTGGCATTGTGATTTCCAGTTTGTCATAGTGTTTCTGGATTTGTCATTTTGTTTTCTGATTTGTCATTGCGTTTCCGGATCTGTCATTTTGTTTTCTGCTTTGTCATTGCATTCCCTGATTTGGCATTATGTCTTCTGAAGTTTTCTGATTTCTTGTTGCGTTTCCTTATTTGTTCATTTCTTTTGCATTTCTGGACTTCCATAGTCTTTTTCATATTAGATGCATGTGTACAAAAAGGACACTTTGCATTCCTGTTGTGCGAGGGCCAAAATCCCGCTGAGGGAAGAGTAGCAGTTTTCTGTGCAGCTATGTGTTGTTTTGATTGTACACCATTGGATTTTTTAAAAGGCGGAGTAGCTTTATCAGACTGAGGGAAACATCTTCCTGTTGCAGTGGGCTGTGGTGGCCAGGTCTCCAAGGACAGGGTGCTTCAAGGGAGGTGTGGGGGCAGGGGGGAGGGACATAGATTGAGGCAACAGAACGTTACATATTGATTCTGGAATTCCCACAGGAAATTAAATGGGAGAAATGGGCACTGATCAGAGACTCACCATAGCCATGTAGATGTTCTCTTCTTGGGAGACATGGGGAGTTGGGGCCCTGCAAAGGACATAGATGTCCTTTGACAGACAGAGATAAACAGAACAGGGTACCGTTTAGGCTAGAGACTAGCAAATAAAAAACTGACTTTCTATGGCGAGAAGCACAGCGCATACCTGGTTTTGGTGTGGAGGACATGTCTCTCCACTGGGGGCGCTCTTTCCCGGAACCAAGCTGAAGGCACCACACAGGAGACACTTTCAGTTCCTGTCTTTATAGAGGAATCTTTCGCAAACGCTATATTTAGCCAGGAAGAAGCTGAATTATGACCACAGCTAGAGCCCAGGGTGTTCTACAGCTGTCGCCTTATCTGCTAGGACGCTTGCTGGTTAGTCTGCCTGGCCAGCACTCTGTCAGCAGGGTACACCTGATTGACTGTAACATTCTCACCGTTGTGCAGTCCACCGGAAAAGTCTCTTCCTCCATAGCACCAACACTCCCAGTACTGCCAAAGCAATCAAAAGCACTGGCCCCACCATCCAGGACAGTTCCAAAGCCTTTCGCAGCATGGGGCCCCTGTCAGGACTTACTGGGAGGAAAAAAAATATATAAATGCATGTTATATATCTTTTAAGCATATTTACATAAAATATAACAAGAGGCAATTTTGGTAGCCAACAATCGGTCCATCGAGGCCCCAGCCAACGACTGCCACCCGATCCACATTGCAGCCGACCCCCACGGCTCCCCCTGCAGGTGGTGGGTGGTCCTATCTTATTCCTTGGGGCTATGCCCAGCCAGGCCCCATGGCTGGAGGCCCAGCCCCCAGATGCTCGGCCTGAAGCCCCCCTCCCCAGGCCTGGCTCCAGGGCGAGGCCCCAGTCTCCCTAATCCAGGTGGGGTAGCATGGTCTATAATATTACTCATTATGGTGGGTTTTCTGAATTGGACCAGTTTGCCTTACGTTTGCCTAACATAGCTCCTAGGATCACAGAGGCACACAAACCCCTCCACCATAATAAGGTGGAGAGTCTTGGAGCGGCAGCTCCCTGGGGAGGTGTTTGGGGCGTGGCCAACTGGGAGGAGACTCCGGGGCAGACCCACCACACACCGGAGAGATTATTCACTTTCATCCTAAGACTTGAATATCTAACTCATGAACCATTCTTACATCATTACATTATTATAGCAATACGGATTATTCATTCATTCATTAACATATTCATTCATTCATTTTCCATACCTACCTGTCCTATGCAAAGTCTCACGGGTCTGCATTCTCTCCTGGAAACAACGGGCACAAGGCGGGAAATAACCCAGGACGCAGCGCTAACCCATCGCAGCTGCAATGCTAATTACCCAATGCTAATTGATAAACTGTTAATAAATAACAAAGGTCAATATATTCATACTTGTTCTCTCCTGATTTTCATCTGGGGGGCTTGAATTTCCTGCAAAACATATCAGGACAGCATCCGTAAGCAATGGCATATTTCTAAGTAGCAAATTACCGGAGCCAAGATACCAAACAGCCATACCTGCAGGGTTGTAAGTGACAATCAGCTGAGTGGAGCTCTTGTAGATCAAAGGGCTGTCAGGAGACCGACTGCGACATAAGTAGGTGCCACTCTGGTTGCAGGTCACAGAGTGCATGACGATAGAGAAGTCACCTGCGCCAATGTCACCCGTGAATGTCAGCGTGGGCCACGCGATGACCGTGATGTTGGCGTAGAAGAAGACGAGCACCTGCTCCCAGCAATGAAACACGAGAATGCCAATCGCTGTGCTTAAGAGGAAAACTTCTCAAATGCACTACTACAGTTCTTATAGTCTTTAAACTGAAAAACCATCGAACACACAATGTCACAGGAAAAACACTCCGTCTCACCAAATAATCACAATGGTCAATTTCATGTACGCAATCTGACATGTACGAGAAGCGAGAAGCAACAGATACTTTAGCTCTTTGTTGTAGCCAAATAATACTGTAGTATATTTTGCCAAATCATGCTAATGCTAAAAGTCAAGAAAACTTTACTAACAATTTATGATATTCATTTCAATGTATAATCCCCTTATACCGCACCATGTAACTAAATTAAACACTGCAGAGGTGTGTCACCGTTTGTCAATCAACTGGTGACAATTACATGTATTACTGTAACGTGTCATGCTAACGTATAAGAACATGACTACCACGGTGTTATTGAATTCCCATTCAACGCTGAGTCTGTGATCCAGGGTCTGTGGACACGAGGAGAAATTGCAGGGAAGGTGAACATCAGAGCCCTCCGATGCCTCTTTCCTGAGATCGGTGTACATGCAGCAGTGCGCGTGGCAAACTGTGGAGGACATGAGGCAGACATACAGTCTCAATGAAACATGGCCTGGCATATATATATTATATATATATGTGTGTGTGTGTGTGTGTGTGTGTGTGTGTGTGTGTGTGTGTGTGTGTATTTCATTTAAGCCTTACAAGTCAACCCAAACAAAAACTATTAAAATATGCATCATTATAACTAGGCCTTAAGTGATGTTCGAATGCATTCAATCAAAACTGTATAAAATTAAATTGCTTGATTGCATTGTGATCAACTTGGAAGTGGTAAGTATGATTTTCTTTATCAATCTTTATAAAGCCTTTGGAAATATGTTACTATTGTGATTATCGTAATTCTTTAGGCTTGGGTTTCCCAACTTTAAGATCCGCAGACCGGTGTATGCCAGGGGGGGGGGGGGGGGGGGGGGGGGGGGGTGCTGCCAGCAGATCACAAGTTTAGTTATTTCCTGTTTTCTGAGATGCAAACAAAACATGCAAACATCAGGAGTCATAAAAAATTTAAAAACATATAGTTTGTTTTTGGAAATCCTGCCACGAACCCCCCAGAATTCTGCAGCCCTATGGAATACTGCTCAGGAGTCTGAAGGTTGGGAGCGCTGAATTACAACAAACAAAATTTAGCCATAATATTTAATTTTAATTATTCAATGTATATCCACAAGTGAAATAATAAAACCGTGAATTGTTTCTGGTAAATAAAATAAGCAGGTATTTATTAAGCACAGCAGTCAAAAAGTGACTTTGATGGTTTTTTCTTTCACCTTTCCATGTTATATATGATTCTCACCCCAAAATATCACAACTATCCAGGCAAGGTGCTGCATTCGTCAAAAATCTGTCACCAACGAAAAACAGACAATATAAAAACACATTTATTAGCCTGCATCTTGTGTGTGCCATTTTAACCATATACAAGTACAGTGATTACGGTTAAAGTAATGTTCATTGGCTAGCTAAATGAGAGAAAAAATATATTAATGTGCAAAGCAAGTCACACCACTTCAACAAGTACAGTTTAACGCCTCACTGCCACGGACCTGCCACTCACCCTGTGTTTCACACCAACTTTCAGCTGAAACCTGCATACAAAACTGCAGGCGGCTGCAAAAGTTGAGTGTGTTCAGTGGGTTTAGTGAATGACAGGGTCTGCAAGGAAAACGTTCAACACGATTCAAGAGTGTCATCAGAACGCCGGAATTAAAGGGCATCTCCATGCACTCCCCAGGTAATTGTTAACATTTTTTTTTAACAAATAAAGCCATTAAGCATTGAAATTTGAGCCCATACATTATTTGTGCACCCATGGTCTATGCTACTCGCGCCATATTTTGCTTCTCACATCACTTATCATGGACAGTCAGAGCTTACCATGCCTAGACATAACTGGGTTTCACAATGCTTGAGAACAAAAGGGAAAAACCCACCTACTTCCGCAGGAATAGAAAATACACACAGAAATAAAAATCCAGATGCTACGGAGAAGATAAAATGTTCATTACTCATAGTTCACTCTGTGTTCTTCACAGCTATCACACTACAAGACAATTATATTCAACACGAAGCACACTTGAGTTCCATAGAAAAAAACACAGCGCTATGCACCCTTTAGGCAAGCAATAATGAAGAACTGATCATTGATTATTAGGTATCTTAGTGTAAAACTTACCTGTGCTAGCGGACTACACCAACAAAGGGCCCTTCACATGGTCTTTCATCAAGCTTCAGCTCAGACACAAGGTAATGAGACTTATAAGAACCAGACGGAAGTATTTGTTTCCCATCATCCATGTGCGTGCATCCCCCACCTCATCTCACACCCTGCTTAGATTCAAAGTAACTGTTTTTTGTGGCAGTTGAGCAGCACAAACCAAACTTTTCGCTATGCTGTCAAAACCACTAGGGCCACAGAGCCCAAAGTGGCAAAACATCTAGATAAAAAACTTCCCATGCAGTCACTCATGATCATTAACTCATTCATGTTCAACCTCAGATTGTTCAATGCTGATCATTTACTTTAACAAGACTTAACTCAGCTTATTGCACTTTAACTTTTTAAATAATATATATGCATCAATATCAGTGCAGTCAAATACTAAACAAAAAAGGAAATTGACAGCCGCTTCTCTTTTCTGGAACAAGCAGCTGACAGACACAATATTCCATGTTAATGATATAATAATTATAATTTAATAATTTTAATTAGGATAATTTTTGACGCAACAGTTCATATGAGCAGGATCTAAAAGTTTCTAGAGATGCACTATAAGGTGAAAAACCACTGAAAGTTACATATATGCTGGATACTGAAGCCAGGAGATGCCTGCAACACTGGTCATGAAGCACAGAGAACATCAGCGAGTACAAGATCAGCAATGATGAGAACATGATAAAACACTAAAGAACCACAATCACACGCTTCCAGTATCAGCCCCTGTGCACCAGAAACATCACAGCAGAAAGTAGTTTATCGCCAGGTTTGTACAAATCTTAAGTTAACCTGCAGAAATCCACATGTACTGAAACAGAAGTGCATAATGTACATCGAGGCTATTAATGGCACGTCTCTGAGTGACAGTGTGCAAAAATCATAAAATAAATAACTGCAAAATTGCCAAAATCAAAATGAACAGACTGATCTTACAACAAAATAGTACAATCAATACAACTAATGCTTTGTGCTATACAGGGTCACTGTTTATGTTTGGCTTGTTTGTATATACATAGGTTCTCCTGAAAAAGTAAAGGAGATAGGTAACTCAAAGGCAAACCCCTTTTGGTTACAGCAGTGTTTCTCAACCTGGTCTACAGAGACCTGCAGATGGTCCATGTTTTTGCTCCCTCCATGCTCGTTACCGGACAGTCCGCATTTTTGCTCCCTCAGCTGGGAGCTTACCAAGAGCTGGGAAGGAGCAATTACGTGGACTGTCTGAGGCTCCCTGAGATTACAGCATCAAGTTTAGTCATCAAGCTTCAACCTCGTAGCCATAGAAACATGGAAACAAGAACAGGCATTTTAAGTATCAGCAGGAATTAAGACTGACTTAGCAATTTTAGCATAGAGCCACGCTCTAGTCTCAGTTCTCTTTTCAAACTGAGGGACGTGCACCTTCCCAGCGACGACAGCTATTAGCACTGAGATTCAGCAATGGCTCCTTTTTCATGCTTCTCTGTGCATGGACAGAATTCCTCATCATTGACTGATTCCTGGAAGGGAAAAAGAAAAAGAGGTTGAGAGGAACCAATGAAAACTCGTTAGATTTAATGGATTAGTAATGGCTAGATGTATGCGAGTGGTTTATTGGCCAGAAAGTTTCATGTTCAAAACCCAGAGACAAAAAATTATATATATATATATAAAAATAGGAACCCAAAATGAAACACCTCAGTAAATACTGAAAAGAGAACTTCTGAAAATATGTCAGGATTGTCTTGTTGATATTTTGTATCTAAAGGAAGTTTAGTAAAGGAATCAAAAAATATTACATAGTTTAAATAGCAATACCTGCAAGTACAGCTCACAACAAGGGAAGGGGCCATTTTTCATTTTGTGCCTGCTGTAGCCAAACTCCTCTCTGCAGAAATTAATACAATAACTCAGTTTCTCTAAGCAGGCACAAATGGAGAACAAATGGCAAGTGTCAGTCCACTGCTGGTAGCACCAGGAAATCCAACCTACACCCAGCACCGCTTCACAACTCGGTAAGCATGACAAACTCGATCTTCAGGACAGAAGACAGATCCTCAAGGTATGAGAATTGGAGAATGGAATAGGGAGATTTAATTGGCACCCTCAGGATACATCGGGTAGGAGAGCTGAATTCACATGCAAAATAATCATTTGGCTCTTTAGCTTAAATGCACTAAACCAGGAGAACCACTGGGGCTCATATGATTGTTAATTACAGTCGAGCAGTCGAGACCCTGCCTCTCCCCCAAAATATCCACATCTCCCCCGACGTCTCAAAGCACATGTCCTTACACATCAGTGACTTCGATGGGTGAACGCCTGACTGTAGTCTTCTTGTGCTGGGAGCAGCAAATTGAACCCAGCAACACCAACGTGATGATGGCTGAGGGTATCAGGATGAACGCCATCAAGACTGCCATGTCCGAGAAGCGTACGCTCGTCCCTGGTAGAGTGGGGGGGGGAGAAAATGTCTATAAAGACCCAAGACAGACAAGGAAGAATACCGTGCCACACACATACAACAGAAAAAATATATAGATTAGTGGTACGTTACTAAAGTTTTTTCTTCTATCCCATCATACTCTCCACAAGACACACATATAAGTGTCAGTTAGCTTGGGGGGGTCACATGGCAAGGTCAGTTAGCTTGGGGGGGGTCACACTGCAGGGTCAGTTAGCATGCAGCGTTCCTGGAGCTGGGGATTAAGGGCCTTGCTCTGGGACCTAACAATGGCATCAGTCTGCCAGCCCTGGGATTTGAACTAGCAACCTTCTGATCACGGGCACGGGGGTTCTAACCCGGCGGAGCCGCCACTGGCCAGCTCACAACAAAATCATTCTCAATACACAAATTTACATACATGATCATGAACCCAAATATACCTCTAGGAGTGACTGTGAGCTCAGTCTGGCACGGGGATCCGTGGACATCGCCGGGGGGGTTCCTCACAGCACAGGTGTAGGTACCGTTGTCGCTAAGGGAAGCATTAAGGAGCAGGAGGGAGGCGTCGCCTCTGGCGAGGTTCCCCGGCCACTTTATGCGGCCCATGAAGCTGCCCTCTTTGGGTAGGTATGGCTGGGAAATGAAGTGAAACACCTGGGAAGAGGAAGAGACACGTAACAATGGCAGAAATATTTAGGTATTCTCATTGTTCCACATTCCTTTTACATTGTTAACGTAAAAGAAAAAAACAAGACTGAATTATTTATTGGTGTAACTAACTATCAGGCCGCAGGTTCAAAGCCGTGGAGATAATGGAATTTGTTCATAACTGAACAAAATCTGCTGCACAAGTCTGGGTTAAAAGATTTTTTTTTCCCCCACTCAGAATTGACATTGTGATTTTCTGTCACAATTTTGAGCAATATCCATCTAACCATCCATAACTCCATCCACCTTCTATAGCCTCTAGTTCTGTGCAGAGTCATGGGTTTGGAGCCTATCCCAAAAACTACAGGAACAAGGCAGGAAATAACCCAGGATGGGGAACCCACCTCTTGAGCAACTACTTCTCCTTATAACAACAATAACAGTAATAACAAACATCATCATCGTCATCAATAAAGAAATGATGATTATTAACACTATATATCTAAATGAAAACAGAGCCAATAATCTGATTACTGGAAAAAGTACCATCACATCAATTTTGCAGAACCAAAAGGGCATACTCCAGGCTTTTAAACTCATTTCAACTGCAAGAAATATGAAACTGACTTAATTATAACACCTACAAACAAATGATTTTACTACAAAATTGTTCCACATCCTCATCACCTCCCAGATGTTCAAGAAAGCTGAAGGTAATACTGCACGTAATAAGCTTAGCGGGGACGCCTCTTCTGTAATACCCCCCCCCTGCCCCGCCCGAATTCTGCTTTTGTTCGTCAGGCTTTTACAACTTCCTTCCCAAAATTGTCATCTGCGGACCGAAGTTCCTCAGATTGAAAGAAATGTACTGAATGTGTTGGGATGTGAAGGTCACACAGTGGTAAGCTGTGTATAGAGAGCGATGGAGTAGTGACTCAGTAGGTAACACTGGTGCCTCACATCAGTGAGGTTGGCACCTCATACAGAGTGTCGTCCTGCTTTGTGCTCTATGCTTCCTGGATTAAGTCCAAAGCTCTTTGCAGCCCCGTATTGGATGAGTGGTTGGAAAAAAAAAAATATTCAGACAGATGCAGCCCATACCTCTATGGTGTGATAAGAATCATGATATATAGATATGTCCAGGGTTCATACACTTTTTCGATCAACAAATTTCCACGACTGTTTCATGACTTCTTCAAGATGAATTTCCAAGAATCAGTTGAAAGAAATATTTTTTCGTTCAACCCATGCAGGAAGAGTGTTCGGAGTTACGATGCAAACATCATCATATGGCACCATTACAAACATCCAGCTTGTGTAGAGGAACCAGCTGTTTCCATCTTGCATTCATCCTTTGGATATGGATCTACCTTCCATTGCATATAATTTTACAGATATGCATGCTGCTTCTCTCTCTTGTTCAGATACACACTATTTAAAAAGTTGCTTAGTAAATTTTCTTAACCTGGTCACCAGATAGACACTCATTAATTTATTCCTCACATTTGCAATAACGATAAACAATAACTACTGAGATGTAAAACTTTGTGCTAAAAGACAAATAACTTATGTGTAACATTATAATTACCCTAACGCGACAAACTTGATATACGCGTCCCAAAAGAACGAAGCAATGTTAACTTGAAGTATATTCAACATGTTATAGAATGTGTAAAGTTAACATCTTCTTCTTCTTATAATAATAATAATAACGGGATGAACAATGCCAGAAAGCACTTTGCATGTAAACATGTAGGAAGGACGGCCCTTGGGTGTGTACCAACTGTTAGCACCTGCGTGGAATTATAAGCTAGATGACTTTACACCGTTTGTGTAAGTGTTTTTTTATATTCAATATGCTCCTTCCAGTAACCATTTGAATGGCACCGTCTCTCTCCCTCTCTAAAACACACACACACACACGTCTTTATTTTTACACTCTGATACTTGAAGTTGAATCTTACAAATTCTACATCTAAATTACTCGGCTAGCCTGTACTCATAGCAGAGCATTCTTTTCCACACGTAGCACATTAAGTGTTTATATGCGAAGTGCTATGGCAAGCCATTTTAACATTTAATCACTAGACTGGGTATGTATTGCAGATATCTGTAATTAATCATTTTAATTTCAGATATCCGAAAGGATACCACCATTTTAGATATCCATAATGTAATTTAGAATATCCAAAATTAAAATTATGACTAGTAACAACTGGATTGTAGTTTTTATACCATGTCATTTAAAACTTGTCACCACAGGTTTTTAAATGTGTATTTTAATGCCACCTAAAGGAACTCCATAGGAAAAGGCAGCGTTGAGACGTACAGAGGCGGAAAAAAATAGTGTCTAGAGGGTAAAATATGCTGTGTTGAGACATTTTCTCTCATTTTCCCCCTCAACGGCCTCCCATACACATGACAGTATAACCATGACACTGCTTGTGAAAGTCTGGGTGATACTGCAAATGTTTTCAAAAATCCTATGATGTTTCTAAGACTTTATTGTCCATAACTTTTCCAGGTCTAGAATACGTGATTACTTAATCCCATGATTTTTCCAGGACGTTCATGACTCTACAAACCTTTTATGTCACATCACCACAGACTGGTAAAGATCGGAGGATGTCTGGTAGAATGTTAAGAAGTCTTACATGGTCACCATCAAAAGTACTGATTATCAGATTGCTTAAGCTACGTATAATATTACAGCATGGTGCAGAATCAAAAGTTTCTTACTCATACCACAAGAGGGAGCCACTAAACTCCTTCGTGTAGTATATCAGATTCCACTGAAATAATTAGTCCAATCCCAACCTAGAATTTTTCAGTTTTCACTGAAGCACTCCAGAAACCTGTCAGCGTGGGGCTTTCCTGAAAAGCAGACTAAACTGATTTTCAATTTCATTCAGACACTTCCCGCTGAAGGGAGCTAAACTGTCTGGCTAGGCTGATATATACACATCCACAGGATGCAGAAGAACACAACCAGCCCAGAAGAAAGGTCGTAATAACCAGAGCTGGAAACTGGACTTCAATCATGGGCCCAACCTTGCAAAAAATTTAATAACACCACTGAAACTGTTTC